ATGCTTTTTATCCTAAACTGTTGGCTGTGTAAACTGAATGATCCAGTGTTTCCACCTGAGAATCTAGCTTTGCCTTTGTTTCGGGTTTCTAGGAAATAATTGAGAGGGTCAGAGAGGATCTAATGATTGTGTTGGAATCACTAAACATTCATTAAATGGTCGTTGTGAGAAGACCACATTGAGATTACAAAGCATTTCTCGGTAAAAGTGTTTGAAGTATTTCTGTGGTCAACCAGAGCGTGCCTGTAGATGGCACCAGAGACAGTCGAGTCCAGCCCTGAAATCCCTCCGGGATTACTTGGGGTGAGAGACCAAGGAACTGAGAATGAGGGCAGGTTAACAGGTGACCGTTCGTGAGCAAGGAAGTGGAGAGGAAGGAACAGATGTTTACAAGAAAAAAAGTCTAGTCTACCAAATAACTCGAAAAACTGGAATAGAAACAGACTAAATTGAAACCTCAGAAATAATTCCAGTGGACTTTCCTTTAATGATGAATGATTAGGAACAACAGATTATTTTACCTGTCTAACAAAACCAGCTTTTACTGTGTCTATTTTTATGCTGGCTAAATATTACAGTCTGTCAGGCAGCTCATTGCAAATATAAGATCAGATTCTTGTGGAAGCCCTTTGAGTCAAGTATTTGCATATTCTACTTTGTGGTAAGTTCCCCTTTGAACTTAAGGTCAATAATATATTTGTAACTGCAGGGGAGGCATTGTCCAGGGGTACCTTCTTTTCACATTGTAACCAATGCAGTGATCTGATTTTGTCTGTAGCTTGATATACAAAACTTCTGATTTTCTTGTTTTCATAAGTGTAAGGCACGCTGATAAGCAAATCAAAAGTTACGGAACAGCCATATCCCAGCTCTAGTTTGCTCTAGGCCTTCGGTACTGAAAGTGTACCAGAAAATCCATACCAATGCAGTGGTATCTTTCTGTGCTTGGAAGCAAAAGTAATGTGGAAATTAAGTTTCATAAGATGTGAACATTTTAAACTAGTTCATGTTCCACAGCATCCTCTTACTAAAATGTTTTAAAATATATGAACAATTGAGCATGAAAGTGTTAGGTACATGTCTGTTCAGGGATTCAATTAAGATGTATCTATTTCAGTAACCCACTCCAGGAAATGAATCCAGCCTTGGCCCCCTCCACCCACACTGTTTGTGTGAAGAACTCCAGGTGCCTCTGATGCTGCTGCACTCATGATTTTCCACATGGGCTGGCTGCTAACTCAAAGAAGAAACTTTACCAGTCTGTGTGTGCAGTGAATGTTCTGACACTCCCTTGCCCTTTCTGTCCTCTCTTATTCCTCGTTAGAAGATGAATGTGAGATTTCGAGCACTTGGAGAGCTGAAATTGAATCTGAAGTTTACAAATGGCTCTACATTGGGATTTCCAAAGGAACATGAAGTTAGGAGGCACCCCAGCTTCTACTAAATACCAGGAGATTTTATCTTATGCATAATTCTGTTCCTTTATCAGGACACCTCAAAATTTCAGAGGGATTCAGTGGCTAGAACACAAAGGTAGGTTTGGGATTTTGAGGTCAACATCCTGACCCTCTATATCCTTTTTCTAAGAGCTTGTGTAGGACAATCAATTTCTATGTGCTTAGGTCCCACTTAAAGAGATCATCGTTTGTCTTTATTTCACAGGAAGTATTGGGAGGATTAGAGACTAAACTGGTCATATCAAGGGCTAAATGAAAGGACTGAGGTGTGTCTGAGAACTCGCAGTCTTCGGGCTCAGTGGAATTCAGATCTGCCACTCACATTTTTTGTTGCTCTTTAATGGTCTTAAATGAAGGTAAAACATAAACAACATTTCCTTAATCTTGGGGATTATGAAGCAGTATTGTACTGACTATTATACTGAGTAGGATGGTTTTACTCTAAACCTGAGAACACGTTATCAGTGTGATAATACAGGGTAGCGTTAGATCCTTTCTGATTTGATGTAGCATAAACAATTTCTAACAGAATTTTGGTTTTTAATTGTGTACTCAGGAGTGTTTTATTTGTGTACCTCATAAAAGCTTGATGCTAAGGATTAAATTCTCACTCATTACATTGCCCGGAGATGATGTTTTAAATTCTCACTCATTACATTGCCCGGAGATGTTGTAGAATCTCCGTCCTTGAAGATACACAAACTCAGCTTAGACTGATGTGCCCTGAGTTGTCCCTCTGAGGAGGTGACCAGAGACCTCCAGAGACCTTTCCAGCATGAATTACTCTGTGATTCTGTACCTTAATTGTGGTAACATTGGGATATCAACATTTGTCTCTTTGCTACTTCAGATGGCATCCATGTAAACATCCTGCAATCAAAGGTTTTCTCCAGCACAATCACATTGTCAAGTTCAGAGAATGGTCCTTGCTATTTGTTATGGTTTAAGGGTTAACAGCCTGAAAGGGAAGGACAGGTGGTGTCTGTAGGACCCTGGGGGGTCAGAGATCAGTACTGTTCGCTCCCCTTTCCGGCCACAGTCTATGAAAAACTGAGGAGGCCCGAGGTTTTCGGGGCTTTTCCTGGCTTCCTGGGCTGCTTCCTGTCTCACCTCAGGACAGCTGGGCCTACCTCCACGTGCTCGGCAGCATCCACCACCATCCCCAGCACCACTGCGGTCCCTGGTGACGAGTCACGGGAGTCACAGTGGTTACAGCAGCCATGAGGCACTGCTTGGACACTGCCACTCAGGACTACTGGGATGGGGTTTTGTATATAGTTAAATATCCTTTGTCCCTTATTAATTCCCTTTTCCTTTCCCCTGTTGTTTTTCCTTGAACTTGTTACAGTCTTAACTTCCAACCTTGTGCGAAGCATCTTTTTCTCTATTCCCTTTTTTTTTAATCCTCCCTTGGGAGGGTAGGGGACAATAGAGAGAAAATCCTGCTCTCTGAGCCTTAAATGGAGACACTATTCCCTAAGAAAACTGAAGGCTGCCACTGGCTGAACTTAACTTCACTGAAAGGAACTTTCCAATAAAACTTTACATTTTTAGAATTCGTTTCTTCTAGGTGGAAGATATTCCCTTCTAGTTTGGTTTAGATGTAAAAATGTGGATCATGGTGCCAACAGAGCAGACTTAACAGGGACTAGGTGTTGTTTTTGCTGAACAATCTATGGGCTTTTTTTTGAAATTGGGGACTTTTTGGTGTTTTATTCTAATTCCTTCTAATTGGCTGGATGGTTTTAATAAGATTTAAAACTTATCTTCTTGTCAGAAGTGACATTTTAAGAACAGATTTTCTCATAACCAAAATTATCTTTAAGTTTTACATAAAAGTTGCAACATACACAAAATTGCCCGATTCTCAGGAGTGCTTAATTCCCCCTTGTGGCAACAGAAGGCAGTAGTGTGCAGTTGTTTAGCATCTCTGAAATACAGGATAGGCCACTGTAGTCTTGCATTTCTTGGATTCCACATGAGACTTTCAGATGTGCAAGGAATGCAGCATCAGGTCTGCTACCGTGGCACTGTGTGAGCCATCTGCTTGTGAACTAGTGACATGATATTTTAGTGATTAGCAGTGTGAAGAGCTAATATATATATTACATCTGTATATTGCTGCAGATCTGGATTGCTCTGGATTTTTTTTCTTCAGCAGATAGGAAGATTAATAAGGTAAAAGGAACCAACAGAGTCTCATAATTATGCAAAATATTTCAGTGCTGCAATTAGCAGCAGCTGTAATTTAAGCCCAGATTTAACATCAAAGGCTGTGAGGATAGAATTAGGATTTCTATTCATTATAATTCTGCCACGGCTACAGTGAGTCTGACTGCTAGAATTCCTCTTTTGCATTAGCCATCTTAAATCTGCCAAGCAGTTCTTTTACATGCCTGGGTATGAGTGAGCTGTACTTGCCTCACATAATCATCTCCCAGTTCATGGAAATGCCAACATTGAATGTTACATAAAAGTTCCAGAAGGCTTTGTTTCTGCTCTTCTTCGAAACAGCTGCCAAATTATGTTATAATTATCATCCAGTTTCAGCAGTGAGTATTAAAACAACAGTCTACTTGTGAGCTGGAACCACATTGTGGTAGATGGGATGGGAGATAACTGAATGTTGGTGGGGAAATTTCCAACCCACTCAGCCAGAAAAGCACAACATCTATTGAGGTCTTCATTGACCATGAACATTATTTACTTTGTTCATTAATGAAGACAATGCTATAACTAGCTCTGAATCCTGTAAGACACTTATCAAAGGAAAGACTAGTTCTTAGTAATTTTCAGACTTAAGAAAATTGTTAATATTGTGGATTATATAGATGATTATTCATTATAATAAACGAAAGAATGAGCAATGGCCATTGTTTAGTAACGTAAAAGAGCTTTAAGGTAATCAAACAGCAAGACTGGCTGTTATTTCACCTGTAGGAAACACAGAAATTCACACATGTGGCAAAGTAATATTGTTCTGTAGATATTAAGATAATAAGCAACATGTTCATGATTCACAGAAAACCCTCCAGGCCTGTGGCCCACGTTGTCAGGGGACAGTGACTTGTGACAGTGACAGAGGTGTAATTAGACCCTTCTCCTCTATTTCACAGCCGCCTTAGGTATCATGAAAGATAAATCTTCTTAAGGGAGAGTTACATTTTAGGCCATAAACACTCTGACAATACATGCTGTAGCCCGGTACTTCATTTTGTAAAATTATCCACAAACTTATGCCATGCTTTGAGCTATGTGTCAATTCCTCTTAATTTTTTTTTCTCATAATCTCAGGTTTGGGACTTAATATAAATTATTTTTAGCTATCTTGTTATCATTGCTTTTCCTCAAGGATCAGAGAATTAAGCAGAAATAAAACCCAATGAAATCAGTACGGTTAAGCCTTTAAAAGATATCATATTGTTTAAGATCATCAAAACTGTATCCGGTGAGTCAGCATGGTCAAGTAAGAGGATGGAAAACCTAAACAAAGTTTAAAAAGCAGCTTTTTCCCCCCAAGTTGTTTTTGTTTTTTTTTAAATGTTTTTTTCTCTCCTCTTCCAGCCACAATTTCACCATTATGAGTGGTTGAAAATCACAAAGTGCCTTCTTTACAATGGAAATGTAACAATACCACGTGACCAAAACAAGTGTACGTTGCAAGATTTCTCATTAATACCATGTGTGAACTTGGTGTAAGGGGAATTGTTAATGCCTGAAACAATATAAAAATGTACAAACACATGCTGAGTGTGAAGTGCTTGTTGGACGAGGTAATTGGAGAGTCAGTCCAAGGTTGCCTTTGGTCTAATGCTGTTTATGCCTTCACCAGAGATTGGAATTCTGTGAAGGAAGAAAATGGGTATAAAACTGGATGAAAGTGCTTTTTAACATCTTCAGAAAAGATAGATAAAAATGACTTAAACTCCTAGCCATGGAGGGCTCCCAAAGTCATGGTAACGCTGCACAAGCTGCTGCTAAACTGAGATTCTGGGGATGTAACAGATTTTTCACTCTTTAAAAAGAGTAGGTGCAGAGAGGAGGAGTTAGTCTGTAAATTCGTATTTGTGGGAAATCCTGAGTTAAAGGTAAACTGTCTTTAACCCCATTACACACTCTGATAACAGCCGAGGAAGCAGAGAGTGAATTAGGTCGAGCCTGTAGCTTTCTAGATGAGAGATTTTTTTGTTTTGTTTTGTAATTCCAAAAGGAAAATATCAGCAGTGATGCAATTTCAGAATGAGAGATTCAGTGGTTAAGGGCTAAGATCTGCATCATATAATGCCCTATTTGGGGCTCATAAACAGAAGCTGCAAAAGCTGCTGCTAAAGCAAATTCCTTCAACAGTGTATCTCTCTCTCCTCCCAAACTCTGGCTAAGATTAGGACGTGTGGCTGTTGGAGTTATTGCCACCTGTCCTAGTTCAGCTGAGACAGCCCTGTTTTCAGTGACTTCATCTCTAATATATGATGCATAATGCCCTGTTTTCCTTTGCTGCAATTTCTAAAAGAAATACTCTGAACAGTCCACACCATCCCTGTGAGGTTTTCATTAGGAACTTGATTTTGTTTCTCGTAGGACTGCCCAGTGAAATTTGTACTTATCAGATAATTCCTCAGCAGAAAATTCCTTGCTGCATTGCAGCAGTTCTAGCCTTGAAAAACAGTATCAGTCTTATTTTACATTACTGAATTAACCACTCAGTAATACTGGCCAACATTAGATAGTGGCAGATGAAGAAATAAGTTTATATAGGGGGAAGCGTGTTTAAAAATGAAGGTGTCTTATGGCCAGAAGTGCAGAGCATCCACTGCCAAAATGGAAATTCAAAGGATGAGTAGATGCTTAGGATGTATTCAAAATCTGGCACACTGAGCTTATGGATCAAACACACAGCAGAATTAACCCCAAAGCTGTTGTTATTGAGTGGAAGAACAGGCTCTACATTGGGCCTAAATATGCTGTTCCCAAATGGGTATAAAGCTATGAAAATAAAGCAGTATTCACTAGTATAAAAATTGTGGCAGAAAGTACCAGGCCAAAGTACTTGGATGTATTCTTCATCCCACAGTTTAAATACAGCCCTAAATGCATGCATTTTAAAACATGAATATGATGAGGTTTCCAAAGTCTTACCTTCCACTCCAATTTTGCCATCACCATCAGTGTCACCTGCAGCCAGAAAAGCCTTGGTCTCCGCAGAGGTGAGGGCTCTGGCACTCGAAGAGAAATTCTTCAGAAACAGCCTGAAATAGAACAGAGAAGTGTGCTGTGCTGGAGTCTTGTTTTCTAAAATGTCCTTGGCATGCTGGTATTTCTGGATTTCTTAAACCCATGCCAAAAACCCCAACGTAATGCCAGCTTTTATTATGTGAGGAAATCCACACAGATTGAAGGAATGACAGGGAATTGTGTTTTATTTTTAAAATAACGGCAAGTTTCTTCTAGGACACCAAGCAAGTTCAAAGCTTTACATTGCTTAAATAAATACTTACTGAAGCTCATCTTCTTCGATGAAACCACTCTTGTCCTGATCAAGGATTCCAAAAACTTTCTTTATCTGGTCAGGAGTTTTGCTGGATAAACCAACCGTGGAGAAGAAAGACTTGTAATTGAAGGAATCATCAGCTGGAAGAAACAGGAGTTGTTTAAATATTTTCTACTATATGTATTTCTTGAGAATATGTATGTCTTTTCTTTCTTTTCTGCTCCTCTTTCTCTTGTTCCCTGATGTAGCAAAAAAGAAGATGCAGTGGATAATTCCCCTTCTTAATCGCTCTGTGCCTGTGGTCATGTATCCTTTCACCAAGTTTGAAGTTTTCTGCTACAATGCATATTCTACTAAATCAGAATTTATGCAATGTGTCACATGCAATTAGTAATAAATATTTAGAGGGTGCTATTGTGGTTACAGACCAACTACTACAATTCTTACTTCATTTTCATTTATTCCTTACTTTGGTGAAGAATTTGGTAGAAAAATAAGTAATTCACAGTATTAAACCAACTCTTTGAGCATTTGGAAAATTGCACTGATCTTGCTGAGGAGCTCTGAAGAGAAGGGAGACTGGTAATTGCTTTGCAAGTGACACTTTGATTCTGCAAGCTGAGGCTTTTTTGACATCTTGAAGGAAAAGGCTAACTATTTAAATGTAAGTCTCTAACACGTTTAAAAATTGTCAGAGTTTAGAGTTAAGTGAGCCCTAACTGAAACTGTTGTCCTTTAATTGCTGCTCTGTGTTTTGGGGAATGTTACCCACTGAATAACCACTTGTGAGACTTCATGAATTCGAGGGGCTATACTGTAATGTAGCTAGAAAGAGATCTCACAGGAAAGGAATCTAAAGGGAAAATGATAGGCATGTCATCTTAAGACATAAAAATGATATGCATCTTCTGGCTGCAGAGAGACCATTCCTTACCCTGGCAGCTGGAGAGAGCAGATTCAATATCTTTCGCAGAAAGGATGTCAGTGATGGCCATTGCTGAACTGTAAAAGAAATTAAATGTGAGCTACTTAGTCATTAAAATGACTTCTCTACCTCTTTCATGGCTCTGTTTGAAGTTGCTGCTGTGACAGTATATGATAGGGGAGACATTATTCATCTAATTGTAAGCACAGCGTACTGTAACAGATGTCTGCAGCAGGTGCTTCCACTTAAACTGGGTAATGAGGGAGGAATTCTGCATGCGGGAGTGGGGGCTTTGGGAAGATCTGATGCCTCCACTGCACCGGGAGAGCCAATCAAAGGTGTCTGCCACCAGCAAACTTCATGACTTCTGTGTGGGTTTTCCTGGAGGTGGATTATTACTCAATTAAAATCAGCATATATTTACTGCATACATAAAAGATAAGGCCCCTGGAACTATATCTGGAATAAATGTAATTGGAAATAAAAAATATCTAGTATTATTATCAATAAATATGGTGAGCTTTTCAATGAATGAAAATAATAGTGTAGAATAATAATATTTTTACTCATTTCAAGGAAATCTAAATTTGGAGCATAAGTTCCTCCACTGTTTAGTTGCAACAATAAATGTAACTAAACTATAAATTTGGCTTGCTGGGCTGCTGCATCATTAAAAGAATACATTTCATGTTATCTTTATAAAAAAGTTTTCTCGATTATGTTGTCATTGTTTTTTTTCAATTCCACATAGGTGGTGATAAACCACATTTTCATCCAGATTTTGGCATTTCAGTATATTGATGTGCTTAGAACAGAGGTATTGAGACTTAATATTCATTCCTGATAGAGTGGAAGAAGTGTTTTCTTCTGATACACCAGCATTTGATAAAAGATACTCTTTGTCCCATTCAGCCACCAACAGCTGCAGTAGTTAGCCAACGTAATATATATGTCGCTTAAGAGAGTGATACAAGGCCTGAATTTCAAGCCAGTTTTTTAGTATGAACATAGCATTGATGCATTTACAGTTTGATAAACTCCACACACCACTGCAGACTGGTTACAATTTAAAACTTGCGACATTACTGTGAGGTAGCTTCATGTTAATGAAGGAAGGGGAACTAAGGCATAGCAAAGTTATTCTTGAAAGCCACAAGAGAACAGAAATGTCTTTTCATGATTCTCTGACTGATCTGCAGCAAACCATCCTTCCTATCTAAGCTTGGAAAGCAGCTTTCATGAGAAGGAAACCAGTGCTGGTAACCATTCATAGTCTGTGCCCCAAATATGAAACGGCTGTCTCCGTACCTGTTGGTTTGCAGCAGAGGAAATTTTCAGTCATTTCAGTCCCTTTCTGAATATCTTAGAATGTGTAAGGAGCCAATGGGACAAATTCACACTGATGGCAATGAGTACTTCTCTAGCCAAGGCTGATGAGTTACTTTTGTTCTGCTAGCAATTACTTTGTCCCAGTGGCTTCTTGTGCAAAGTACTTCCCAATCTTAGCATCAAGTGAGATAATTTGGAGCTCTGCCATTCACCTAATTCTCACTGCTGACAGGATTAAAAATGGGGAAGAGTTGAAGGAAAACCTAAAAATTGCAGCATGGTCTCATTTTTTTACAAGGGGCTTCATCCCTGTCTTTTCCCATCCAATGATCTGAATGCTGATTCTCTTCTCTGTTAGCTTGTAAAAGATACGACATGCTGGAAGCGGATAGAAGAACAGATATTTTAATTCCATAGGCACTTTCCATTTAGGGAGCACTTTGCTTTTGTGTATCTTTTTCTGAAAGCAGAGGATCTGATCAGCTTACCTTTGTGGTCTTGACTGGATAAGGAAGCAGTCTGGTTGGGAGGAACGTACTTGCTGTGTGTCTCCACCAGAGCTGAGCTTGCATATATATACTTTAAGTTGTATACCATATACAGATTTTAGATTTCAGCGTCACGAAGGGGGAATGGTGTCAAATGAACTTGCCTAACTAATCATCTTGCACTATTTTTATCTCAAGAGAATACATATGATATTTGCAAACGAAACAAGATAAGTGGCTAGATAGGCGAAAAGGACAGAGTCATATTAAATTTCTTCTGATTTAAGCAGAAAATACCAACTTCTCTGTATGATGTAGGGCAGAAAATAAAAGACTCTCTGATATGCTTGATCTGAGGAGTCAGATGAAATGAAGCACTACTAACTTCTGAAGATATGCCTTTAATGAATGTTTAAATGTGATAACTTGTTATCTGTAGACAGTGCGTGTGATAGAGTTTCATCATTAGAGCACTAAAAAAAAAATTTAACATGTCCTGTTCAAAAACTGTTTGTGTAGCAAACCATTTAGGGAAAATAATAGTCCTGTTTTCCCCCAGAATGTCTGGTCTGTTGTTGTTTTGAAGAAAAAAAAACAACCCACACAGTGAATTTGTTGCTACAGGAGGTAAAATAATATTATGTCAATCTGTGGGAACAGTTGGTTGGGGGAGGGTATTTTGTCTGGTATGTTTCCAGAGAAAATCTGAGAATTCTGCAAGGTTCTGCCATTCTGTTTAGTCGCGGCTGTATGAAGCAAAGGGGTTGTGATCCTACCAGCTGTCTCTGAGACAAAAGCGCCTGAGCCCTACATCTTTGCTTTGAGAATAGAGAGAAAAATGTTGATAGCAGCGTCACTGCAGGGAACAGCATGTGAGGAGTGTCTTTGCAGTTTTGTAGCCTACCTTCCAATCTCTTTTAGAGAAGCGATTATTTTGTTTAATTTTTGGCCAGCGCTGTTTCCAAGCGTTCCTTTGTGCTAGTTACCTTTTTTTTAAAAATAGCATAGAAACAATTTGATCACCTCAGGTTTTTTTCCTGAACATCGTAGCCTAACTGGGTGAGGCGGCTGTCACCTTGACTCTCACCTGTGGCTTGAGACAGCGGAGCAGTGAAAGACAACTCATGGATGGCAGCCCAAGATGGCATCACAGCCAGGAGTGAGGGATGGCAAGGGATGACGGTGCAGTCGCCATCACAGCTTGAGGTGGTGGCACAGGAAGAGGTGACAGTGCAGAGAGTGTTTTAATGTCAGAGAGTATCAAGACATCTTTTTTTCAGAAGTATTTCCCTCTAAGGTGGAAGGCAAACCTAGCCAGGCACTGAAGCCAACAATTACTAAATCCTAGTGTGAGGCTGAAAAAGCAGCAGGTGGGGCACCTCAGAGACCTCAGTGCATCCAGCACTGACAGCAGCGGGTGGAAAAACAACAAAAGACTATTGCAAAAGATACTGTGTGTGGAGGGGGTGTTTTTTCACTTACTGCATATAAACATAAGAAAAATGATCGTTACAAGGCTTTTTAATTTTTACTAATTCTGCGTGTCTGTCCTCCAAGAAAAAGTTTCAGACACAGATCATTCTTATGAGGGGAAGAGACATTTGTTAAGAGTGGCTGTGGAAGATTTCAGCTTTCCCAGTTTTCTGAACGGGTTGTTGACCAGCTGACGCTGAAAAATTTCAAGAAGAATTTGGTGGATAGATATTTAATACTGGCTCTTGTTGCCACGGGTGACATCTGGTAGAAGGCATACAAATATCACATTCCCCCTCAAACTCTTCTAAGAAATTACTTTTATTCTGCATGGGAGAAAACTTCCTCTCCCTTGTGCCACACACCACCCCTTTCTCCCCCTCAAATTCGAAAAATTGCCTACATAGTGGCAACAACTGATGTGAAGTAAGGGCGTTCAACATAAAAACTGATGGCATGATATGACCTAATGAAGCTAAGTTAAGAGGAAGACCAAATTCTGCTGAAACTCTTGGACTGCAGGAGTCTACATGGGAATTTGGGCTCTGGTGTCTATGTCAGAGAATGCATTTGATTTTAGATGCAATGGCTTCTCATTTTGCCCAGAGCTAATTCCACATATGTTAACCCCTCGCCCCCACTCTTCCCTTTAAAAATAGCATTGATTGCTGTTATTTCCCTTAATGCCTGTGGACTGTTGCCACTGGTTTGAACTTCTGTATGTGAACTGCATAAAGATGCAGTCTTGAACAGTGTGCTTTGTTTTCTAAAAGGCTTCAGTGAGATGATTCCTTTTGTTCTCTGAAATTGCAAGGATAATGCATGGACATCAGATGATTTATGGCTGTAGTCTGTTGAGCTGCATTCAAACTCCAGCAAATTTTGGAGTCACTTTTGCAGTGAGATTGGAGGCACTAGAGGTCCAGAACACGTGCGCTGCCTGGCAGGATGAAATGCACGTGGATCGTGTAACTCTATTTACAACCATTTTATTTTCAAGCCCTACATTAGAGATTGCAAGAACATCTATCTGGTCATTTCTGCTTTCTTAACCAAATACTGTTAGGAACTTTCCAGCTGCCATCTGACTTGGCAGGGAGAGGAACTGGGGAAGTATTGAAAAGTAGGGAGAAGATACCCCTTTCAGATTGTCAGGTTACCACTAAAAGCAGTTTTAAAGCCTGGGACTTAAACATTTCACTTTGCCTGAGTCTCACTGCCTTCAAGAGGACTCTGTAATGGAATGCTCCTCTCTTGTTTTATTCTTCCCATTTTTGATCTTAACTCTTCTAATACCTGAAGTTACCTTCCTCACGTCAAAAAGCTGTATTTTAGGTCATCATAATTTCTGTGCTTGTTCTAGAATACATTCTTGTCATTCTTCCTTGAGTGCTGATGTGAGTCATGTGTGCAGCAGAATAACAAAAATACACTGAACAGTTGTGAATGCCTACTTTAATTTAAATAAGTGTTATTTGCTGCCTTTGTGTATGACTGAGATCGATTTCCCTGAATGTTTGTGGTAGGGATATCCAAAGTCACCAGTCAAGGAATAGAAATCACCTCATATAATGTGTTTAACCTATTGTTAAATGACATGTGAATAGTGAAAGTGGAATATTCATTCAGCTTTAAATTTGCTTTGGAATATATGAGATGAAAGATATTGTATGAATGTAATTTAGTGTAACTGTATTATGCATCATGCTCCTGTCATTTGAGGAACTTAACTCTTGGAGTGATCTGGAAATATCTGTGAGTAATTTTAGGTTACTTAATCTAATACCTGTAGACACCTTGTAACTACCCCCCAGTAAAAATGCTGAAAGAAAAATGCTGAAACAGTTGCTATGCGATGTGGAAGGTGTACATGGGAGATATACCAAATAAGACCTGTTTTATTTTTGCAAACTTGAATGAATCACACAAACTAAGTAATTTATTTTTCACCAGCTATCATTTTATGTCAAGTGGCTTCAGCCTCTGAGGTAGATTTTCAGAGATTCAAAGAATTTACAATGTAACTTTTCAACTTCAAGAGCCCTTTAAAGTGCTAATTCACAAGATTTCTTCAGTCATATTTTTCTAACATGTGTAAAGCATAACTTTTAAACCCATTGGATTGTTTACATAAATCAGACCATTTCTGAAATTTGCAAGAGTTTCAGTTCTGATTGCAAAATTTGAAAAGAATTTAAAAGGAGTACCGTCCAGATGTAAAATCTATGTGATTTCTCATGCTGTAGCTTGAGATTTTTGTTTCTGAATCAAAACTTTGCAGTTCACTTCCATTTCCGTTTCTTTCTGAAAATGTTCATGCATTGATGCAGAAAGAAAATGTCATCTTTTTTTTTTTTAAGAAGAAAAATCACATAGAATGATTTCTGAAATGATAAATTCCTGGCTCTGTTAAATCTCATGCTGCCCAGGGCAGTGGTGCAGTCATCATCCCTGGGGGTATTTAAAAGACAGGGAGATGTGGCACTGAGGGACATGGTTTAGTGGTGGACTTGGCAGTACAGGGTTAACAGTTGGACTTGATGATCTTAAAGTTCTTTTCCAACCTAAACAATTCTATGATTCTGTGATAAATTAACAAAATACTTGAACTCCCAGATGACTCTATCCATAGTTTTAAAATTATATGCAGCAAGTGTGAGAAACCCTATAAAATAAATAACTTTTCTGCTTTAATTCTGAATGAAAAAGCTTACTATTTTTGGCAGTTTCCTGATAAAATTGCCAATGAAAAGCTCTGTCTAGGATAATCATGTTTGTTGAATAGACAATAAAATCAGTTCTGTCAAGCATACATGCACCATATTCTGTTCTTGAGCTATGTTCTGCAACTCCCATCTGATAACATCCCTGAAGAGGGTCCTTGTTAAGGGAATTGTAACATTAGTGTGTGTTTACACTGCATATCCCGGTGCAGTCCTGCTCCATGACTGTGGTTTATAAGCACTATAAATAATCATCAGATGCAGCAGGCTTTCAAATATAGATGTGTTTGACATTAACTCAGATGTTTTTGAGCCTGTCTGTATATCCTTGCATAGCCCTTATCACACTATTATGTGTAAACAGTGTATCCCACTATAAACAGAAACAACTCCTTGCAGTTACATAATTGCAGGAGTGGGAAATAAGAATTGGGTCATTACTTGTGCATATACTAATCTAGTACTGATATTGCTGAATAAAGCAGTGCCTTCAATTTTTCTGGCAGAGTTGCTTGCTAGGGATATATTTATTTCAAGAATGTATGGGTTTCAAAAAACCCAAATGCTAACTGACATAAAATGGACTCTAAAAGGTGTTTTTCCTATGCACAAAGCCCAGACCGAGTCTGATTTATAGGTGTTCAGCGAGGTGTGACTTAACTCCCTGCTCCTCCACTTGCTCAGATCAGGAATTGGTCAAAACTTGTCACAGCTCCAGCCCAGCCTGTGTGCTTGGGTTTCTTTTCTATGGAAACTGGAGCGTAATAAGAGGCTGATGTGTGTTTGGGTATTGTCCAAATGTGGAGTTCATGTCTCTAGGGCATGCATCCGGACGCAAGAACTCAGAAGCATTCCTTCGTCCCTTGTTAGACAGTG